GCTTTTTATTCTTTGCATACCTTATTTTTCTTCCCCATTGTTCACATGGTGCCCTTTTCCTTTTTACTAAGGGCAGATTAATCCATTTCCCTTTACTTCCTGGAACATGTAACCAGGACATGTGACCTGCATGCACATCATCTCAGGGGAGGAAAATGCCTTTCCCCGAGATCTTGTGTTACAGATGAGATGTCCAAGCAATGCTCTGCAGAAGTAACTTTCTCAGGATGCAATGCTTAGGCACGATTACATAATTTCGGCCCAAGAGGACCAGGAAGTAGAGAAAGATTGCAAATTAAAGAAAAAGGTTTGTTTATAGTATTAAAAGGCAGTGTTTTTAACTTAAAGCATTAAGGCAAAAAACACCCAGTACTATTCTAACCTCCCCCCCCCCCTTTTACCTGTTGCCACTCATATCCTTCTCCGCGACTGGGAAGGCAACTTTCTGGTTGTGAAGGGGGGTACTGAGGCAGAGGAGCCGTAGGCTTCCTCTGCCTTCAAACTGTTACTGCAAGAGCAGAAGTGTGGCTGGCCGCACGGATGCTTGCACAGCAGCCAAGTAGCTAATGGAGGAACCCGTACATGGGGGGGCCAGCGGTTTGGATACCACTAGAGAATGAGGGAACATTTAAAAAAGGAAAAAGTATTTTAAAGCAACAAAAAAAGGTCTAACCCCTTCATGACCAAGACCTTTTTTTGCACCCATGTTATATTCCACATTTTAGAGCTGAACATTACTTCAAACCCACAAACATTACATATTTTCTGAAAGCCAAGACCCTGTAGAAAGTTTTTTTGGCAGTTACAAATATTTATGTTGCACATTATTAGCGTAACGTATTATCAAACCTCAAAATTCTGTGAAAAATGCACTTAAATGGCTCAAAACACAATAAAACACTATAAAACACAATAAAACACTATTTAAAAAAAGAAAAGAAAAATATAAAAGACGAGGTTACAACGAGTAAATAGATACCCCACATGCCCAGGTTAAAAATTGTGTGCGTCTGTGAAACCGACAAAATACAGTACCCCAAAAAGTCTATAGATGATGCTACAGGTCATCAGTTTAGAAGCATAAATATTGGCCCCTAGAATTATTGCTCTCACTCTGGCATGCACAGCGATACCCAACATGTGTAGCGTGATCATCGTTTTCATACGCAGGTGCACATTTACGTGAAGACGTGCATGCTCGCGTGGGCCTTATCATTTTCTTTATGATTTTTACATTTATTTAATTTAAAAAACTTTTTTTTATTTCTAGGTTAATTGCTATCACATAGGGAGGCTTACAAACCCCCCATGTGGTAGCATATTGGCAGTGGCAAAAGACCACCAGCATCACCAGTGACATGCTATGTAAATCACTGGTCGTGAAGGGATAAATATCATTTTAACTAATAAATGTAAGATGATTTCATATCAGAATGCAGAGCTGCATGCTGATGTGATTTTTAGTCAAAGGGGGTAAAGGTCGACTTTAAGTCATTCATAATTTACAGAACACTGCTAATGTAGCCACCATACAGGTACTATGGATACATTCATTCTCAATACTAGGCTCTCGAATCAGCAACAAGAGGCTTTAGTGACCTCTCCAGATGGCAGCTTTGAGTTTGAAACTAAACCAAGCATGCTTTCCATGAAAGTGTTCATAAAAAGGCTCTCGGGGCCTTGCACACATGACACGACTCTTCAGTTCTATCAATGTGTTTAGTATTGCAGCGACAAACAGGAAAACGCAGGCTGTCAAACATGGAACACGGTCCCAGCACACATCCCATTATCAAATAGAAAAGCATTGGTTAGCAGCTATCCTCCACAAGGTGAACTTCGCTTGGACGCATGTTCCATGTGTATTACAGTCTCTGTTCACCAGTTGAGTAAATGTAGGCTGTGGACAGATGCGTTAGACTGCCAGTACTAGAGCATGAACTGTCTGCAGGGATACATCAAATCCACCAGTACAATGCTTCAGTGGAAAGGTGAGAATCATGCAATCAATACCTGGAGCTTCAGTAACCGGAACATTGGCAGATGGCGCCTCTGTCTTAGTTGCTAGACAAATGACAAAAATACTTATGCCACACTAGAATTCAACTGCTTGTTCTACAATAACGGTCATTAAATAAATGGGCATCGTTGTATGATCAAATATTTATAGCAAGGATTTGCAAGTATTGTAAAATGAAGTTCTAAGTTTACCAGCTGGTTGTATTGTAGCTGTATTAGGCTCCATTCACACCTGAGCGGCTCTCCGTGCGTATTCGGCTGTATGGATACGCGCGGAGCCGCACTAAACAGAAAGTACAATGCACTTTAAGTGTGCATCATTCAGACCATAACGGGGGCCCCTGAAATAGTGTAAGCATGGTAATCCGGCAGATTCCGCACGTTTGTGGCTAATAGCCGCAAACTAGTGGCATCCGTGCGGATTAAAAATATTAGCGTTTTCGTCCCACGCAGACTTCTGCATGGAAACCGCAAATGCTATATGTAAAGCCTTAGAATAACAGCAAGCCTAAACATACTATGCATTGGTAAGTACCAGGCCACTACAGTGGTACGGTAACAGATGACTACAGCACAGCCATGCAGTAAAATTACCTATGGCATTATATTCAGCATTGGGCTCTGCAGCTGCCTTAGTGCCAGGGGTTGAGGTCTTTGGGGCTAAGCAAAAAAACTAGACTCAATAGGCAAGGTTCACAAAGAGCTGAGTAGCGTTGTATCAGTACTACTCCCTGCTGCTGCTTTTACAGCAGAAAAAAACATTAACACTGATTTTTGTCAGGTTTGCCTTATATTGGCATTTGACTTACAAGAGCAATTTTGCAATTAAAAAACATAAAACGCTCATCTCTGCGTAGATTAGTCATGTGGAACTCTTTGTGAAAGTCTTTCAGCGTGCAGAAAAAACAGACTAGAAGCGCACAGAGATATGCAAAACTGGCACAAACATTTCCAGGTTTGCACATACAAGAATTATACCGGGTTGGCAAAACTGGCACTAAATCCTGCAGAAATCCTTTATAAAATACAGAAATATCAGTGAAAGGCAAAATGTATTTAGCAAGAAGTTAACTTCATTTATCATTCCAGTCCAAAATAAGCAAAAGAAAAAGCTGTGAAAACTGCCACTACAATGTACAGAAGCACAAAGGTCAGGCAGTCACAATACCTGAGGCTTTGGTTTTGGCAGCATTAGATTTAGTGCCATCAATGAGTGAAGGCTTCTTCCTCCGAGCTAAACAAGTACAGATGTTCATATTGATACTCTCACACAATATTTCTTACAGAAAACTGGAAAGTAACACAGTTCATGTACTCCATACCTTGAGCTTTGGAGGAAGTAACGGCAACTTTAGGGACATCTGAAGGTGGCAGTTCTCCTTTTGAGTCTACATGAAAGAAATTTCCCTTCAACTCAATACTTTATGAATAGACTATATGCCTAATGTGCACACAATTGCCTTTATCACACTGGGGTAGATATGTCCTCAGTCAAATAAGAGATAAGCTCTACTATAAAACACCAGTGAAGCACACTTGGCCAGGTTTATAGCAGACCTGTTATGGGAGAAATGCAGTATAAAGGCTGGTACTGCAGACTTGCTCCTAAAAATGCTAATCTGCATACTTCAGGAGTATACACATGAATATGGAATTCAGAAGCTAGCAAGATTAGTCTTTTTTAGACTCCTGCTCCATTGACAACTAAAGCAAACCTCAACAGTTAGGAGCCAGCTGTTTTTTGTAAGGAGCATTGGCTACCTGGTTCCTGGGATTCGTCCAGCCCTGGCATACTTATACCAAGTCAGTTATTTTTTTTCTTAAGATAGGTTTCCATGAACCTTTAATAAATCTAAATGGACATGCTAAAAATGAGGTCTGTCTGGTGCTTGTTAAACTGTGCAGTGTTCACTGCATTAACATTTATAATCCCAATATATGTCTAAAGGCAATGCAAATGCAGTCCAAACAAATGAGACAGCCATGCTATTGATACCTGGAGTTTCAGTAATGGCAACGGTGGGCTGGGCCTCTTTCTTGGGTGCTAAACAAAAATAAGACCACTTACACCACTTCATCATACAAATATGTCTACACAACAGCACATAACAGTAAAAGCTAACTCAAATTAGTTTGCCGAGGCTAGGTTTACACCTAGGCGATTCAGATGCCGAGCTGTTTTTGCGCGGTTGTCGTGAGTTTTCAATCATGCGACTGTTCACTGTAAACCGGGTGGTTTTCGCACTTTTTTCAATGCATAGAGAGTAGTCTATGGGACCCAAACCGCTCGTCAACCACCCAAAAATAGCTTCTGCACCTTTTCGCACGATTTCGGTCACGCAACAAACAGGAAAGGTGTGAGCAGCCTCCATTGACTTCAATGCGAATCTGTGTTTTGCGCGATAAATCGGTGCATCCCTAATACCTGGCGCTTCAGTAACTGCATCACTGCTGGCCAGGGCTGCTTTCTTTGGTACTAAACAAAAATAAAACCACTTATTCCACTACATTATGCAATTATCACTACATTAAACACATTAGCATGAAAGCTGAGATTAGCTTGGTGAAACTAGTGGGAGTAAACCATGCAATGAATACCTGCAGCTTCAATAACTGCAACACTGGTTGGAGGAGCCTCTTTTTTTGGAGCTAGAAAAAAAAATAAAAAATACACTTTACTGCATCATCCTGCGGTGTCTATACCCCAACACACAATGGTGACCACCAAGTGAGATTAGTGTGCTGAAACCAGGGGAGGCAATCATGCAAATCAATACCTGGGGCCTCAGTGACTGCAACAGTGGTGGGCACATCCTCTTTCTTCGATGCTAAACAAAAATTGAGAACATTCACTCTACTGTATTGTACAATGAGGTCTACATTTCAACACAGAGTAAATGTCAACTCAGAATAGTCTGCTGAAACCAGTGAAAGACAGCCATGCAGTCAATACCTGGCGCATCAGTAACGACAACATTGATGGCCGGGGCCTCTTTCTTTGGAGCTAAACAAAAATAAGACCCCTTTACTGCAGCTTAAAGTTACGTCAAGATTACAGCCCATGACTGTGAAGGCGAACTCATGTTAGTTTGCCGATACTAGTGGTAGACAACCATGCGAATAGTAACTAACAATGGTGTCTGTCTTTGGAGTTAAACATAAGAGAGAAAACAGTCCACTGCAGCTACAATAATGTCTACATGTCAACACATCAAAACAAAAGTTGGTTTGCTAAAACCGGTAAAAACAGCCATGCAATCAATACCTGGAGCTTTAGTAACTGCAATGTTGGTAGGAGGAGCCTCTGCTGGTGCTAAACAAAAAATAAACCCACTTACACCACTTCATCATACAAATAAGTCTACACTATAGCACATAACAGTAAAAGTGAACTCAAATTAGTTTGCTGAAACCAGTGCGACATAGCCATGCAATGGATACCTGAAGGTTTAGTAACTGCATCACTGGTGGCTCGGGCAGCTTTCTTTGGTGCTAAACAAAAATGAGACTTACTCCACTGCATTATACAAATAGGGGTACACTACAGCATATAAAAAGCAAATCAAATAAGTCTGCTAAAACCAATGGGGGACAACTATGTAATGCCTTCAGCTTCTGTAACTGCAACATTGCTGGCTGGGGGTTATTTGGTACAAAAAAAAAAGGACAACTTATTCCACTATTCTATGAGGTCCAAACTACAGCACTAAGGTGAATGAGAAGTCAAAATAGTTTACTGAAATCTATTGGAAGGCAGACATGCAATCAATACCTTCAGTAACTGCAACATTGGTGCGTATGACAATTTCCTTTTTAGCTAAACATACTAAGCATTTACTCCACTGCATTATACAATCATGTCTACATTAAAACACATTATGCTGAAGGCAAACTCAGATTAGTCTGCTGTAACCAGTGGGAGCCATGCAATCAGTACCTGGAGCATCAGCAACAACGGTGGGTTGGGCCTCTGTCTTTGGAGCTAAAAAGAAATACGACCACTTACTCTGCTGCATTACACACATATTCCGAGAATACAGAATACTTGGATGTACGTAAACTCAGATTAGTTTGCTGAAACCAGTGTAACAGTCATGCAAGTAATACCTGGAAATTTAGTGGGAGGGGCCTCTTTCATTGGTGCTAAACAAAAATACCATCACTTATTTCCCTGCATCAAACAGGTCTACAGCATAAAACAATGAAAACTATATGAAAAAATAGTTAGCCAAAACCAGTAGGAGACAGCCATGCAATCAATACCAGGAGCTTCAGTAACTGCAACAGTGGTGGCCGGGGCCTCTTTCTTTGGTGCTAAACAAAAACAAGACTACTTATTCCACTACATTATACAATTATGTCCAAACTACAACACAAAATGGTGACTATCTCAATGGTGACAAAGCAGCACATGTATGCCTCAAAAGGCATCCAAGTGGACAGCGTTTTTTGCATGCATCATTAATCTGCATTGTTCACAAAAAAAGCACAGCGCAAAACACTTTGAAGGCTCAGTGAAGGCACATGCGCAGCATTTGATCATTAATTCTTTAGGAGCTGGTGTTTTGTTGACTTGGGCACTTGAGTATACATCACTTCTGGCACTGGCGCTAGCTCTGTTGTGTTAAATGTCCCCCAGCCACACACTAATGTAAATGAAGAGCAGTCATGTGACCGTGTTGAAAAGAGAACTCAGTTTGTTGAAACCTGTGAAACACAACCATGCAATCAGTGACTGGAGCTTTAGTAACTGCAGTATTGGTGGCTGGGGCCTTTCTTTGGTGCTAAACAAAAATATACCCACTTACACCACTTCATCATACAAATAAGTCTACACTAAAGCACATAACAGTAAAAGTGAACTCAAATTAGTTTGCTGAAACCAGTGGGAGACAGCCATGCAATGGATACCTGAAGCTTTAGTAACTGCATTACTGGTGGCTCGGGCTGCTTTCTTTGGTGCTAAACAAAAATGAGACTACTTATTCCACTGCATTATCGCTACATTACAACACATTGGGGTGAAAGCTAACTCAAAATTGGTTTACTGAAGCCAGTGGGAGACAACCATGCTATTTGTACCTGGAACTTCAGTAACTGCAGCCTTGGTGGAAGGGGTCACTTTCTTTGATGCTAAACAAAAATGACACCACTTACTCCAATGCATTATACAGTTATGTCTACATTTGAACACAGCGTAAAAGCCAACTGAGATTTCCACGCATAAACAAGTGAAATACAACCATGTAACCTATAGCTGCAACTACAACAGTGGTGGGTGCAGCCTCTTTCTTCAATGCTAAACAAAAATTAAGAACGCTCACTCCGCTGTATTATACAGTGATGTCCACATTTCAAAAAATTATGGTAAAAGTGAACTTAGATTAGTTAGCCAAAACATATAAAAAGACAACCAAGGAATACCTGGCGCTTCAGTAACTGCAACACTGTTGGTGGCCCCAGGAGCTTAACAAAAGAAAAAACACTTACTCCAATGCAGCTACAATAACTAGGAGGTGCACCAAAATGGAATTTATTTTAGACGAAAAAAAACATTTTTTTCCAACCCTTTCAAAATTATTTCATATATTTTTATTTTACTATCAGGGGCTTTGGGGAAATATCAGATCTAAACAGACCAGATAGTTCCCTTTTGAAATAGAAAATGACTGAGGACACCGGGGGGACTTATCAAAGCAATTGCAACAGTTTTAGCCTCTTAGATCAGTTTTTAATGTGCAAATCTGTTTAGCCTCTTTTAACATGTGCGCATGTTTTGACCAGAGCTTGCACTATTTTTCCGATTGCGCCTGTTTTGCAAAAGTTCGCAACTGTTTACATCTGCACCTGTCTGAAACTGGAGCATCACCAATCACTACTTAAGAAGTCCCCATGACCATCTCAAGAAGCGACAGTTAAGCTTTTTGCCTGGAGTTAAGAGTCTTCTTTAATTATGAGTTACTATGCCCACAATCGTGAATGAACAGGAAGTGATGTAGAGCACTTCCTGTTCATTCATAATTGGGGACACAGTAAGCATACTATGTCCCACTGATCGCTGGGTGTTTGTCGCTGGAGGCAGAGCTAGTGGTGCGGGGAGCAGCGCTCAGCCTCCTGTGACAAGGCTGACAGCTCTCTCCTCCCCGCTCTCCATCCTGATTTGTTGTCACAGGAGGCCGAGCAAAGTGGTGTGGGAGGAGAGCTTAGCCTCCTTTGTCAGTCCTCTCGTCCTCACCCCACTCAGCCTCCTGAAAGTTTCTCTCCTCCCCGCTAGACGCTGCTTTGCGTCAGAGCTGATAGAGCAGTGCCCAGCGGGGAGGAGAGAAACCATGGATGCACCGCAATTTTGGCCGAAAAATTGTACTTTCGGCATTTTGCCCAAAGTACCATTTTCAGGCCGATATGTTCCGGCGGCCAAAATTCCGGGGCATCCCTAACAATAACGTCTACATTGAGATGAAACTTAAATACAGGAGGCTGAGCAGGGTGGGAGGAGAGACGCCGGACGATCACAGCGCTCTCCTCCCGCAGCGCTCGGCTGGCTGTCACTTTCTCTCCTCCCCGCTGGGACACAGAGCAGCGCCCAGCTGTTAGGAAATAAACCTGGAAATAAACCTGGGATGCACCGATCGGCAGGAAAAATGGCACTTTTCGGCATTTAGCCAAAAGTGCCATTTTCGGCCGATATGGTTCGGCGGCCGATATATCGGTGCATCCCTAATTAATACCTGGAGCTTCAGTAACTGCATCACTGCTGGCTGGGGCCTCTTTCTTTGGTACTAAACAAAAATAAAACCACTTATTCCACTACATTATGCAATTATCACTACATTAAACACATCAGCATGAAAGCTGAGATTAGCTTGGTGAAACCAGTGGGAGTAAACCATGCAATGAATACCTGCAGCTTCAATAACTGCAACACTGGTTGGAGGAGCCTCTTTCTTTGGAGCTAGAAAAAAAAAACAAAACATTATATACACTTTACTGCATCATCCTGCGGTATCTATACCCCAACACACAATGGTGACCACCAAGTGAGATTAGTGTGCTGAAACCAGGGGAGGCAATCATGCAAATCAATACCTGGGGCCTCAGTGACTGCAACAGTGGTTGGCACATCTTCTTTCTTCGATGCTAAACAAAAATTGAGAACTCACTCTGACATTGTACAATGAGGTCTACATTCCAACGCATTAGAGTAAAATGTCAACTCAGAATAGTCTGCTGAAACTAGTGAAAGACAGCCATGCAGTCAATACCTGGAGCTTCAGCAACGGCAACATTGATGGCCGGGGCCTCTTTCTTTTGAGCTAAACAAAAATAAGACCACTTTACTGCAGCTTAAAGTTACGTCAAGATTACAGCCCATGACTGTGAAGGCAAACTCATGTTAGTTTGATGATACTAGTGGTAGACAACCATGCGAATAGTAACTAAAAATGGTGTCTGTCTCTGGAGCTGAACACGAGAAAGAAAACTTATTCCGTTGCAGCTACAATAATGTCTACATATCAAACACATCAAAACAAAAGTTGGTTCGCTAAAACCTGTAAAAACAACCATGCAATCAATACCTGGAGCTTTAGTAACTGCAATGTTGGTAGGAGGAGCCTCTTTCTTTGGTGCTAGACAAAATAAAACCCACTTACTACTACATCATACAAATAAGTCTACACTATAGCACATAACAATAAAAGTGAACTCAAATTAGTTTGCTGAAACCAGTGGGAGACAGCCATGCAATGGATACCTGAAGCTTTAGTAACTGCATTACTGGTGGCTCGGGCTGCTTTCTTTGGCACTAAACAAAAATGAGACTACTTATTCCACTGCATTATCACTACATTACAACACATTGGGGTGAAAGCTAACTCAGATTAGTTTACTGAAGCCAGTGGGAGACAACCATGCAATTTATACCTGGAACTTCAGTAACTGCAGCCTTGGTGGAAGGGGTCACTTTCTTTGATGCTAAACAAAAATGAGACCACTTACCCCCAATGCATTATACAGTTATGTCTACATTTGAACACAGCGTAAAAACTGAGATTTCCACGCATAAAAAAGTGAAATACAACCATGTAACCTATAGCTGTAACCTATAGCTGCAACTACAACAGTGGTGGGTGCAGCCTCTTTCTTCAATGCTAAACAAAAATTAAGAACGCTCACTCCGCTGTATTACACAAAGATGTCCACATTTCAACACATTAGGGTAAAAGTGAACTAAGATTAGTTTGCCAAACATGTAAAAGATAACCAAGCAATACCTGGCGCTTCAGTAACTGCAACACTGGCGGTGGCCCCAGGAGCTTAACAAAAGAGCGAACACTTACTCCAATGCAGCTACAATAACGTCTACATTCCAACCCATTAAGATGTAACTTAACTTAAATACAGCCATTCAATCAATACCTGGAGCTTCAGTAACTGCATCACTGCTGGCTGGGGCCTCTTTCTTTGGTACTAAACAAAAATAAAACCACTTATTCCACTACATTATGCAATTATCACAATATTGAACACATTAGCATGAAAGCTGAGATTAGCTTGGTGAAACCAGTGGGAGTAAACCATGCAATGAATACCTGCAGCTTCAATAACTGCAACACTGGTTGGAGGAGCCTCTTTTTTTGGAACTAGAAAAAAAAAATTAAATATACTTTACTGCATCATCCTGCGGTGTCTATACCCAACACACAATGGTGAGCACCAAGTGAGATTAGTGTGCTGAAAACAGGGAGAGGCAATCATGCAAATCAATACCTGGGGCCTCAGTGACTGCAACAGTGGTGGGCACATCCTCTTTCTTCGCTGCTAAACAAAAATTGAGAACATTCACTCTACTGTATTGTACAATGACGTCTACATTTTAACACAGAGTAAATGTCAACTCAGAATAGTCTGCTGAAACCAGTGAAAGACAGCCATGCAGTCAATATCTGGAGCTTCAGTAACTGCAACATTGGTGGCCGGGGCCTCTTTCTTTGGAGCTAAACAAAAACCGGAGTTAGAACTTACCGGTAACTCCATTTCCAGTGGTCTTCCAGGACAGCCCATGAGTGTGTAACTCCTCCTCCAAACAGAAAACACGTCACCATAACCATTCAAAAGGACCCCCTGATATCATCCCTCTTTAGTTATTTTGAGAACTGGACGACCATCTATGATGGAGTAGACATAACCACCACAAAAACAGTACATTTATACCAGTTAGTATTGTATACCAGGCGGGAACTGGGCTGTCCTGGAAGACCACTGAAAATAGAGTTACCGGTAAGTTCTAACTCCGGTTTTCCAGTTGTCTTCCAGTCCAGCCCATGAGAGGATAACCAAAAACTTACCCACTTAGGGAGGGACCACTGCCTGCAGCACTTTTCGCCCAAAGGCCTGTTCCTGGGTAGACAACAGGTCTGGACGATAATGCCTGATGAAAGTTGAAAAACTCGTCCAGGTAGCCGCTTTACATATTTGCTCTGTAGTAGCCCCAGCTCTCTCTGCCCAGGTGGTAGCCAATGATCTAGTAGAGTGGGCACTGAGGCCATCTGGAGGAGAAAGTTCCTTTACTCCAAAGCCTCCATTATGGCCTGCTTTATCCACCTAGCTATAGTTGATTTAGAAGCTTGCTTTCCTTTGTTTTGTCCTGAAAACAGTATGAACAAATTATTGGATTTTCTAAAAGGACTCTGTCCTCTGAAGATAAGCTATTAAACATCTTCTTACATGAAAAGCAATGAAAAACCTCTTCCCGATGATTGGATGGGTTTGTTGAAAAGGCTGGCAGAATGATGTCCTGAGATCTGTGGAAATCGGAGGCTATTTTTGGTAAAAAAGCTCGGATCGGTCTTAAGAACCACTCGGTCGTCAGATTGAGAGAAAAGGTTGCATAATAGACACGGCATGTAGTTCACTGATCCTCCGTGCCGAAGTCACTGCCACCAAGAGAACTGTCTTCAAGGTAAGAAGTTTCAGAGAATTCTCCCCCAGGGGCTCTGAAGGTGAGCCTGACAGCCCCTGTAGAACAATAGACAGATCCCACTGGGGGCAGGATTTTGTAGATATTGGTCTAAGTCTTTTTAGTGCCTTAAAAAAATCTTGACACTAGTGGCTCTTCTGCTAGTGCCATCTGGAGGGATGAAATTTGAACTTTCAGAGTGCTTACCGCTAACCCCATATCCGCTCCATCCTAGAGAAACTCAAGTATAGAGGGCAAATCTGTAGTACAGTTCCTTACAGTAGACCATGAGCAAAACTTCTTCCACACTTTTCCATAAATAGCTTGAATTACTGGCTTACGGCTATTAAGTAAGGTCTGTACAACCCTATTGGACAGTCCTCTATATTTCAGCAACTCTTCTTCAGATAGCATGCGGTCAGTTTCAATGCTGGTCAGTTTCAATGCTGGTCAGTTTCAATGCTGGTCAGTTTCAATGCTGAATCGTTTGGAAAAAGGATCAGTCACTGAGTAGATCTTTCCTGGCTTGAAAGAACCATGGGGGCAGAACTGCCAGAGACAGGAGAGAAAACCATGCCCTCTTCGGCCAGTAGAGGGTAATTATAATCATCTCTGTGTTCTGTGTCAAACATTTTTGCAACACTTTTGGAATCAGATAAATGGGAGGAAAAGCATAACAAATTTAGCAGTCCCAGGGATTTGTCAGCCATGGCTACTGCACCGCCCTAAGGGTTCAGCAAGTAAAAATCTTTCACTTTGAGTTGTTCCCTGAAGCGAACAAGTCTATTCCTGGTTTCCCCCACTTCTGGACTATGAGATTGAATACCTCCCGATTCAGACTCCATTCCTCTTGCAGTATTCTTTGGCAACTTAGAAATACCGCCACATTGTTCTGTGGACCTCTGAGATATGTTGCCGAGATTGATGCCAGATTATTTTTTGCCCACTGGAAAATGTCCTTCGCCAGCAGTTGTAGCGTAGGACTTCTTGTTCCTCCTTGCCTGTTCAGTTAAGCTACTGTCGTAACGTTGTACGACAGTACCTGTAGATGATGGTTCCGTAACATGTCTGGCAAGGAGAGGAGGGCATTGAGTACCGCCTTTAACTCCCTCCAATTGGATGAAGCATTGGCTTCGATCTTTGAACATTGTCCTTGAACAAACTGATCTTCCAGATGCGCACCCCAACCCCAGGCACTGGCATCTGTTGCAAGTTTCCTGGATACAGGAAATGTCCATAGCAGCCCTTTTGACAGTTGAGTCTGGCCCCTCCACCACTACAGATTTTGCTTTAGTTTCCCCGGCAAACACACTCTTACCTGCAGAGTGTTCTGTGCCTGGTTTCACAACCGCAATAGATGGATTTTGTAGGGGCTTTTGATAACGAGCCCACTGGACAGCTGGGAAGGTCGAGGTTATTAACCCCAGCACCGACATGGTGAAACGAAGTGACACCGTCTGGTTCTGTTGCAATCGTGCCACTGCTTGCTGGATCTTCATAATCTTTTCTGGTGGAAGAAAAATTTTCCTCTCTCTGGTGTTCAGGATATAACCCAAGAACAGCAAACTCTGGGCAGGTTCCAGATTGGATTTTTCTCTGTTCACTAACCATCCCAGGTTTTTTTAACCAGTCCATGGTCAATTTTAGGTCTTTCCTTAACCCGTCCTGTGAAGTGGCTGAGATCAGCATGTCGTGCAGATATGGTATAATGCTGATCCTTTGTAACCTCAGGAGGTACTAAGGCCTCCCCCAAAATCTTTGTAAAGATGCGTGGTGCCAATGCAAGACCAAATCGAAGGGCTGCGAATTGAAAACGGTGAATACACCTCTTTATTCTGACCGCCAGCCTTAGAAATCTAAGTGAAGAATGCCTGATTGGGATATGTAAATACGCATTCCTCAGATCAATTGTAGCAAGAAACACCTCCGGCTGGAGAACATTCCTTACTGAGAAGATGGAATCCATCTGGACTTTTTGTACCAAACTGACAAGTTTAGTAGCTTCAGGTTTAATATCAGCCGAAACTTCCCAGAGGGTTTTTGTACCACAAACACGTGTGAGTAACACCCTTTTCCCTGCTCCTCTAGAGGGACTGGAAGAATTACATTCTGATCCACCAGGTCTTCCAACATCCCGCACAAAGCATTGGCTTTTACCGGATCTTTGGGTAGCTCCGTTAGAAAAAAATTGGGAGGGGGGCTGTCGAACTCTAGCTGGTGTCCGTGTTCGATAATATTGAGAATGAAGGCATTGCAGGTAATACTTTTCCATTGAGGGAGGAATTCCTTCAACCTCCCCCCCCCACTGGATGCGAATCATCATTGTGGTTTGGGCTTTTGAGACGGGGGGTTAAACAACATGCCTCCCCTGCCCTTACCCTTCTGCCCAAACCAATGCTTCTTTAGGCCTCTCCTCTGTTTTCTTGCGGTTTGTTCCTTTGGTCACAAAAAAATTTCTTATGAAATACCTTTTTCTTCTTCTTTGGAAAGGCTTTATTCCTTATCTGCAGTACGCTCTAAGGCTGCCTCAAACATAGGAAAGGACTCCAGGATTTGCTCCCTTGGAGTACCTGCCATAAGGTGAGACTTGCACTGTGAAAGCCAGAATTCCAGGTTCCTGGCTACACATGTGGTGGCTAAGGCTGGTTTTAAATTAGTCCGTGTCGTATCCCAAGCTCTTTTAAGGAGTACATCCATCTTTTTATCCATTGGGTCTTTGAGGTTACCCACATCTTCAAATGCTAGATCCGCCTTCTTGCCACAATTATGGCTATGACCGGAGCATTTTGCACTCGAGTGGCCTCTGATGATTTCATATCCTCAATAAGGGATCTAAATGAATGAAAAGTTGTAGCCAATTCTTGATTTACTGAGTCTAGAAGACCTTTGTAAGCATTCACAGATTCCTTTTTAAAAAGGCTGTTTAAGCATGACTGACACAAGGGCTTATCCCAGGAAGCACTGAGTTTTGCTCCACAGACTGCACACTTTTAGGTGTACTCCTCATCTGGACAGGAGGCTTCACCTGTAAGACATAAGGAAATGTTTCCTTTGGTAGTACCCAGATCACAGAGACCACCCCTTCATGTCACAGCAAAGTTGCCCATTTAACTCAGTGACAAGACAGAAAAAGGGAATAGGAAACCCCAGGTGCAGACTATGCCATTCATAAAAAAGTATTTTACCTGAGCAGGAGCGGCATTAGAAGTGGCTGCCTCCACAAGCGCTTGCGACTCCCCGTCCATGACCACGCACCTCGATCCGGCGTTTACAGACTTCTGTGAAGCCGGCCGGAAAATGCCGCCCAAAGGCCCCTCCCCCCGCACCGAAAGGGAGGCTTGGAGAGCAAGCCTCTGGCGCCCGGAAGTTGCGTATCTCCGACGAAAATGACGTCACCCGTCGTTCAGTCTAGCGTGCAGACGCTGACAAGGGAGACAAGCTACCACCAGTCCTGGCTTTCCCAAGAGGGAAGCACCAAGAGGGAAGTGGAGCCGGGACCAACCCCTTTGCATAGAAGCCTTCAGAGAGGTACCGGGGCCCAAGTCCACCTTTACTGCACCCATTAGTACAGCCTGTTAGAGCTCCAATGGTAACGCTCTCCTCCTTCCGGAGGAAACACAATAACTGAAGAGGGATGGTATGAGGGGGTCCTTTTGAATGGTTATGGTGACGTGTTTCCTGTTTGGAGGAGTTACACTCTTTCATGGGCTGGACGACAACTGGAAAATAAGACCGCTTTACTGCACCTTAACGTTATGTCTAGATTTCAGTACATGGCTGTGAAGGCGAACTCATGTTAGTTTGCCGATACTAGTGGTAGACAAACCATGCTAATAGTAACTAACAATGGTGTCTGTCTGTTTTTGGAGTTAAAACACGAGAAAGAAAAGAGTCCACTGCAGCTACAATAATGTCTACATGCCAACACATCAAAAGTTGGTTCGCTAAAACCTGTAAAAAAACAACCATGCAATCAATACCTGGAGCTTTAGTAACTGCAATGTTGGTAGGAGGAGCCTCTTTCTTTGGTGCTAAACAAAAATATACCCACTTACACCACTTCATCATACAAATAAGTCTACACTATAGCACATAACAGTAATCCATAGCCATGCAATGGATACCTGAAGTTTTAGTAACAGCATCACTGGTGGCTCGGGCTGCTTTCTTTGGTGCTAAACAAAAATGAGACTACTTATTCCACTGCATTACAACACATTGGGTGAAAGCTAACTCCGATTAGTTTACTGAAGCCAGTGGAAGACAACCATGCAATTTATACCTGGAGCTTTAGTAACTGCAGCCTTGGTGGAAGGGGTCACTTTCTTTGGTGCTAAACACAAATGACACCACTTACTCCAATGCATTATAAATTTAGGTCTACATTTGAACAGTGTAAAAACTGAGATTCCCACGCATAAAAAAGTGAAATACAACCATGTAACCTATAGCTTCAACTACAACAGTGGTGGGTGCGGCCTCTTCCTTCAAACAAAAATTAGGAACATTCAAGCTGTATTATACAATGATGTCCACATTTCAACACATCAGGGTAAAAGTGAACTTAGATTAGTTTGCCAAAACATATAAATAGTTGAAGAACGTCACCAGCACACCTGGGTCAACCTGATGGAAGGGCATCATGCGTAGCTTTGAAAGCGCTTGCATAGGAGGGACAGCATTCTTCAATAAATGAACACAATTGCTGTAACCATCGTTTTGATGTGCTGGTGACGTTCAAGTATCTGCATGTGGCGTCCCCATCCGCAATCATTTCAAGCCACCGCTGGTATATCCACATGGGAATCCCGGTAAGGTGTGCAGCAAGGATCCTTTTTCTTGCCAAAACATCAGCAACATTGGTGGTGGCCCCAAGAGCTTAAAGTAAAAAACACTTATTCCAATGCAGCTACAACCTAGTCTACACTCCAACTCATTAATACGAAACTTAGCTTAAATACAACCAAGCAATCAATATCTGGAGCTTCAGTAACTGCAAGGTTGGTAGGAGGGGCCTTTTTCTTTGGTGCTAAACCAAATTAAGACCACTTATGCCACTGCATCATACAATAAAGTCTACACTACAGCACATTATTCCACTGAATTATACAATTATTGCTACATTATAATTATGGTGAAAGCTAACAAATAGGTTTGCTGAAACCAGTGAGAGACATCCATGCAATCAATACCTGGAGCTTCAGTAACTGCATCACTGCTGGCTGGGGCCTCTTTCTTTGGTACTAAACAAAAATAAAACCACTTATTCCACTACATTATGCAATTATCACTACATTAAACACATCAGCATGAAAGCGGAGATTAGCTTGGTGAAACCACTGGGAGTAAACCATGCAATGAATACCTGCAGCTTCAATAACTGCAACACTGGTTGGAGGAGCCTCTTTTTTTGGAGCTAGAAAAAAAACCCTATTATATACACTTTACTGCATCATCCTGCGGTGTCTATACCCCAACACACAATGGTGACCACCAAGTGAGATTAGTGTGCTGAAACCAGGGGAGGCAATCATGCAAATCAATACCTGGGGCCTCAGTGACTGCAACAGTGGTGGGCACATCCTCTTTCTTCGATGCTAAACAAACATTGAGAACATTCACTCTACTGTATTGTACAATGAGGTTTACATTTCAACACAGAGTAGATGTCAACTCAGAATAGTTTGCTGAAACCAGTGAAAGACAGCCATGCAGTCAATACCTGGAGCTTCAGTAACTGCAACATTGGTGGCCGGGGCCTCTTTCTTTGGAGCTAAACAAAAATAAGACCCCTTTACTGCACCTTAAAGTTACGTCTAGATTACAGCCCATGACTGTGAAGGCGAACTCATGTTAGTTTGATGATACTAGTGGTAGACAACCATGCGAATTGTAACTGACATTGGTGTCCGTCTCTGTCTTTAGAGCTGAACACGAGAAGGAAAACGTATTCCGTTGCAGCTACAATAATGTCTACATGTCAACACATCAAAAGTTGGTTCGCTAAAACCTGTAAAAAACAACATGCAATCAATACCTGGAGCTTTAGTAACTGCAATGTTGGTAGGAGGAGCCTCTTTCTTTGGTGCTAAACAAAAATATACCCACTTAATCATACAATTAAGTCTACACTATAGCACATAACAGTAAAAGTGAACTCAAATTAGTTTGCTGAAACCAGTGGGAGACAGCCATGCAATGGATACCTGAAGCTTTAGTAACTGCATTACTGGTGGCTCGGGCTGCTTTTTTCTTTGGCACTAAACAAAAATGAGACTACTTATTCCACTGCATTATCACTACATTACAACACATTGGGGTGAAAGCTAACTCAGATTAGTTTACTGAAGCCAGTGGGAGACAACCATGCAATTTATACCTGGAGCTTCCGTAACTGCAGCCTTGGTGGAAGGGGTCACTTTCTTTGGTGCTAAACAAAAATGAGACCACTTACCCCCAATGCATTATACAGTTATGTCTACATTTGAACACAGCGTAAAAACTGAGATTTCCACGCATAAAACAAGTGAAATACAACCATGTAACCTATAGCTGCAACTACAACAGTGGTGGGTGCAGCCTCTTTCTTCAATGCTAAACAAAAATTAAGAACGTTCACTCCGCTGTATTATACAGTGATGTCCACATTTCAACACATTAGGGTAAAAGTGAACTCCGATTAGTTTGCCAAACATGTTCCTTTACTGCACCTTAAAGTTACGTCAAGATTACAGCCCATGACTGTGAAGGCGAACTCATGTTAGTTTGCTGATACTAGTGGTAGACAACCATGCGAATAGTAACTAACATTGGTGTCCGTCTCTGTCTTTGGTCTTTGAACACGAAAAATAAAACTTATTCCGTTGCAGCTACAATAATGTCTACATGTCAACACATCAAAACAAAAGTTGGTTTGCTAAAACCTGTAAAACACAACCATGCAATCAATACCTGGAGGTTTAGTAACTGCAATGTTGGTAGGAGGAGCCTCTTTCTTTGGTGCTAGACAAAATAAACCCACTTATACCACTACATCATACAAATAAGTCTACACTATAGCACATAACAGTAAAAGTGAACTCAAATTAGTTTGCTGAAACCAGTGGGAGATAGCCATGCAATGGATACCTGAAGCTTAAAAACTGCATTACTGGTGATAAACGCCTCTTTTTTTTTTTTATAAATTCTTTATTTCAGAGGTTTTTCAGCTTTTACAGAAAGCAGTATGAAATAATGCAAAAAAAGTAACAGGTGTATTCACACACAGTAATGCGGTAAGATTGACTATAAGGCATTTTGATACATAGTGTGGTCTATACAAACATATTTCAATAGTTAGCACATAAAAAACAGGAACATAGAGGGCCAGTGCCATCACTGGAGTGAGGAGCGCTGATACTCTGGGGTGTCCACTGTAGTGATACGGCAGTGGGCGCAACGCGAGTGGTGGGCTCGCCCCCTTCGGGTTGTCAGAATATAACAACAAGTGGTGAATGGCATCCCGATAAACGCCTCTTTCCCTGCAGCTTTCACAAAAAAAAAAAAAAAAAATTATGAACCCATTACTGCAGGGCTAGACAAATTCCATGAGCCAGGTAGCCAATGCTCCTAAAAATGACAACTGGCCCCTAACTTAAGGTTCCCGCTAGTTATCAACAAAGCTGGTTCCTGGATTGGACAGACTGGCTCCTGAATTCCATATTAATTTGTCTACCCCTGCTTTACTGCATCCGACCATTATGCCTACTCTGCTGTATCATACTATTATGTCTATACCACAGAACACAATTGTGAAAGCCAACTCAGTGTGCTGAAACCAGCGGAAGGCAACCATGAAATCAATACCTGGGGCTTCAATAACTGCAACAGTGGTGGCTGCAGCCTTTTTCTTCGATGCTAAACAAAAATTGACAACACTCACTCTACTGTATTTTACAATGAGGTCTACATTTCAACACAAGGGTAAATGTCAACCATGCAATCAATACCTGGAGCTTCTGTAACTGCAGCTTTACTGGCTGGGACCTCTGTCTTTGGAGCTTAACAAAAGAAAGAATGCTTATTCCATTGCAGCTACAACATTGTCTACATTTCAACCCATTAAGACGAACGTTCGCTTAAAAAAGAATTAAATTAACCCTTCAGTGGGGCTATGCACCGCAAGGGTTAACTGCTCGTTTTCTCTAGGGGACCAAATAAAGAAGATATTCTCACCCGAGATCCAATACTGAAACAAAGACCTGTAATGCAAGAGGCCAGTAATCTTATGAGATAAGATTACATGCGTTAAGAAGTCAATCACTATCCCTGGAGGCACGATCGATGTGTCCAGGGATAGTGATCGATTCCAAACCTCATGTAATCATATCACATATGATTACATGCGGTGTGTCAGCATTCTTCTGCTTTCAAATGTGGCCCGTCACCCGATTAACTTGTACTAAATCGCAAGTTCCTGATGCAGGAATCCCTAAATGCAGCTAAAGTATAGGTGTGAATGAAGGCTTTGTTTGGAGCTAAAAAAAAAATTATTTACTGTATCATGCCATTATGTCTGTACCACAACACACAAAAGGTGATAGCCAACTAAGGTTAGCGTGCTGTAAGCAGTGAGAGGCAACCATGCAATCAATACCTGGGGCTTTGGTAACTGCAACAGTGGTAGGCACAGCCTCTTTCTTCACTGCTAAACAAAAATTGACAACACTCGTGTAGCTATATTATTCAATGATGTCTGCATTTCAACACATTAGGGTAAATGCCAAGATTAGTTTGCTGACACCTGTGAAAAACAACCATGCAATCAATATGGGGCTTCAGTAACTGCAACAGTGGTGGGCAGTGTCTTTTTTGGGAGCTAAACCAAAACGATACCACTTGTTTTACTGCATGATAAAGTTATATCTATACTACAGCACACGATGGTGAACGCTGGGTCATGTTAGTTTACTGAAACTAGTAGACAACCATGCAGTCAATCCATGGAACTGCAACATTGGTGGGCAGGTCCTCAGCCTTTGGAGCACCACTACAAAGCATTATACAACCTTCTATGCTGTAGCACATCGGGGTTAAAGTTGACAGATTAGTTTGATGAATCCAGTAGGAGACAACCATGAAATGAATACTTGCAGCTTTAGTAACAGCAACATTGATAAACTAAGCCTCTGCCTTGGAAGCTTAAAAATAAAAACACTTATTCTACTTTATTAGACAATTGCCATGCCTTAGGGTAAAAGCTAACCCAGATTAGTGTTTTACCAATATTACACAAATTATAGTTAAAGCGTATTTAAACCACAAACCAAAAATGTAATAAATTGTGGTTTTCCAGTGGTTAGGAGGGTGACTGGATTTGGTTTTTTTCCAGGCTTTTCCCTGTTTTTACTTGGTAATCCTGCAACTACTTTCTATCCTGGGGAGGCTTAGCTCACTCACCACATTGGATGTATGGAGAGAGCCCATGTTGTCATTCAGGCTGTACTTAAAAAATGTCTTCCTTTGTTCTAGGGTTTAGATATTCTTTATTGATGTAATATACTTAGAGCTGGGGAACCCTTAAGTGCCCCATGGGTTACTACAACATCTAAAAGAGGAGCCGAGCTCTGCAAGCTCTCCTGTCTCATTCAATGGTGTGTATAAATCTTAGCTTTACCCATTGAGCCCTGAAAGCCACAGGATTTCTCTGCATTTCAACAGCTAAGAATGGACAGGTAAACAAGTGAAAAATAGCTTCACCCACTGACTATAAATGTAACACATCAAATATTCATATGCAATATGAATATTTAAATTTCAACATAAGCTCTTCACAATGTAGTAGAGGAAAGAACAACACTCGCCTAAATGATGCTCAAACTACTTGACCTCTGCAGAGAATGTAAAATAAAGTGCACTTTCCCCCACAATGACAAAAAAAAAAAATTTAAGCAACGCATTCAGCACCATTACTAAAAGCCAAACTACTTCCCAGAGTATGTTAGAGCCAAAATGCACACCACACAGTTAGTGATGCAGAAACAGTGCAGTCTTCATACCTGCAGGGGGAGTTTCCGGCGCTGATGGGGCATCAGAGTGAGGAAGAGTCGCCTCTGGAGCTGAACAGTGATAATACAGCATATGATGCAAAATATTTTCCAACATCAACTGAGAAGGCATAAGCCATTTCTTAGAATAAGAAGTCATTTTTTTCTGTTGTAAATCTACATAATCTTAAGGCCACGGTACATATGTGGTCTGCAATTAGAACAGACATGCTAGTGAGCATAGAAAAGTGTTTTCTATAGTCATTTGTAACGTTTACATGTACCTGTCAGAAAAGCAAAGACTACAATTATCTGACACACATGAAAATTGAAAAAGCCACAGAGTGTAAAACCACGCACAAAAGAGGGCTCAGTAGACCGTACAGTGAAGAAGCTACTTCAATTAAAGTACTAGCTCAGCACTTTCCCACACAGTAGATTAGCAGGCACGGGTGGAGTCAGTGAGTGTTCATGACGGAAATGTACATGTGTTAACAGGATTTCATATTTATGTATTCCATGAAGAAGACTTCGGAAAAGCGTAGGAAGGAGATTAAAACATCCTTACCAGCAGCACATGGATACCATATGTAGTCCATCAGAATGCATGAGAAGGACATCTCCCCCCCTTTTTTTTATTTTAATGATATTCACTTAGCAAGTTGCATTGCCCAATCCTTTGAACATATTACTATTGGAGTATGTAGGGGTAAAACAATAAAATGTGAACGCTATGGG